AACAATTCCTTCAACGTAGTGGCATCCAACATTGGTTAACACCAAAGCTACCTGTGCCGAAGTATCTTTGACAGCATGCATCTACTTTCGAGCGCCAATTTGACTGCTATCCTTCTGAAAGGGTAGCTGTGCTAGGTTACCGCTAAGTTACCCAAACATTCCTTTTCGCAAAAGTGCCGCTTCCAAACAATAAATTACTCTTAAAAACCATCTGTTGCGACAGCAAAATCTCAGCCAGCAGCCAAATCTGTCGACTTCATATCGATAATTTGCTGGTAGTTTTCAATTTCAAACTTCAATGCGTGATTTTCAGCTAACGCCTGGAATACGGCAGCTGATCAATGCATTGCACAAACGTGGAACAGATGTGTATCTGGTTTCCGGTGGCTTCCGTAGGCTCATTTGCCCTGTGGCTGACATTCTAGGTAAGTTCTGAAGTTTTTATGAAGGATTCTGGTCTTATCAGTATTTACTTCAGGCATTGATCGAAAGAGGATCTATGCCAATGAGATTTTGTTTGATAAGAATAAGAATTATGCTGGATTTGACGAAAACGAGCTTACCAGCGATTCAGGAAGCAAGGATGTAAGAATATTCAGTAGTATTTGTTTATAGTAGCTGGAAAAGATGGAATTAAAGTTCAAAGAATTGACATATTTTGACCGGGACTACTTGATTGAAAATCAAAGTAACGTAAAAGTTTGGCAAACAACTTTTTAAAGGAGTTGTGCAGTCTACATTAATGAAGTGCTTCGGCTTCCAAGTAATTTCTTCTCTTTTATAGGTAGGAAAACCAGCTGTTATGGGTCTACTCAAAAAACAAGGCTACAAAAATTTGGTTATGGTTGGAGATGGTGCCACTGATTTGGAAGCTTCACCACCTGCTGATGCTTTTATTGGCTTCGGTGGGAATCAGGTAAATGCTCTTGACAGAAGGCCCATCATTATAAGTTTGCTATCTGATGGCTTATACGATCTGTTACAGATTCGTGAAGCAGTTCGCGCACGGGCTGATTGGTATGTAACTGATTTCGAAGTTTTACGCAAAGAATTGGAGAAAAACCAATAGCTGTCCACTATACTGTCTACACTATTAACTGTATGTAATGATTATCTGTCGTACCCACTAAGGCCACTTTCTAACCTCTTGTGTTTTCTCTCATTAAGATCACCATCCATGTAAAATGTCGAACCTTTGGCGCAAATAATTTCTATGTATGTATTCGGGTTCATTGACCTTGACTGTTGACAAAGTGACGTCGACATGCCTGAGAGCAGAGTCAACGGCTAGGTACTATTCAATTTTTTGTCGCAAATTTTTAACACGGTCTGTAATAAATGGTCCTCTGATCATTGTGTTTCTAGCCGGATTTCTTGAAGATGCAGATGCAGTCGGAAAGTGATCGTCAAAAATCGTCAGAATAACACGCAAAATTGCACTTGTCCTTGACTTACATCCGATCAAGCATAGGTGTCAGGCTTAGCTTCATGTTGGAAAGGAGGAGGAATGAAGAGGAAGGTGAGTGGAGCAGAGTCACGGGCGATGTTAGCGCGTGCTTGGGGTGATTGTATTGGGAGGGGGTGGGGTCGCAATAAGAATCCATCATGTTGGAAGGGAAAGAATGTCCTTTTTTGTCAACAAAATAACAAGACGAGCTCAAGAAACAATGTAAACACCACCCTATTCGATAGAGCAAAGTAAGCTCTATAAGATGAGGTTCGAACATTGGCGTGGTTCGTGATTTATGCAAGGTCTAGGAAAGTATTAGGTCCCTTCGTTAGTATCAATTGCTGGATAGCAACCATTTGTACTAATGAATATGTATTAGTAAGATAATGGAGCGATGAATAAACTGCACAGGTCGATGTGGTGAAATCCGTTCTACCCGCAGTTTCTATCGAAGTCGACTCCCTCAGCTCCCGTATACTCTTTTATATCGGTTCATCATTAGGTACTTCTCAACAGCGCAACAAAAACAAAAATTTTTGCTTCTTTGATTTCCAACCCAGGAAAAAATACAGCAACGGTATCAATAAATGCCTGATGCGAAAAGTATGGTACTTGAGAAGGCTAGCATTCTCGTAGGAGGTTTTTGAACGAACTTACGACTTCCGCGATTTTTTGAGCAGTTGAATCTTTGAGATTTTGGCATCAAACTCGAGGAGATCAATTCTGGTGCAAAACTGAAACGTCATCTCATAGAGCTTGTTTTGTTCTATTGAACGCTACCTTGGAATCTTTCTAGAGCCAAAAAGTGTATTACTTGTTGCGGCTAAACTTCAAAAACATTAATTTCCGGACAACCACGTATAATAATGGAGCCTTGACTAGAAAATAACAGCAACTCGTAATAATATCAGAAAACTTTGCCCAATTTCATCTGTTAAGGATGCTGTCGTTCCCCTAAATACTCTCAACTTACTACCAACACATAGCTCATCCTGCTCTGCATAAAAAATAACAACTGCTTCGTTTTTTGATCTCGTTTCAAGTTTAAATCGAAATAAAAACTACATGAGTTTCACTGCAAGACAATATCAGTGCTACGAGTCGCTACTTGTTTTACCATTTGGAAAGCGGCTACTTTGTATTGCGGCTTCTGGCTTGCATTACGAGGTTTGGTTGTAATTTCCAAAGCCACTGACAGTGTTCGCGCATCGTGCTTCAATTCATCAGTCACTAGTAAAGAATAGTTTTAACCTGCACGTAGAAGTGATTTTAGTGTTCAGTATTTATAGCCTTCTAGCTTGCTATTTCCTGTTTTTCGGATACGGTATTGATGAGGTGCACTCGTCGCACAATAACTCACAACAAAGTCTGGCAACATCTTGAATTTCAGCACTGATTCTCTTGAATAAACAGAAAGGTATTCAGAAGCTTCCTTCCGAAGCTGAATCTACTTCATGAATCACTGCAGTTTTGTTAAGCAAATTTAGTGCAGAGCAAGTCAAAGCTTCGTATCACGAGCGTTCTTTTAAATATGTGTGCAGATAGCTACAATACCGCTCGTAATTTGTGAAAAAAATTGGCG